GGTGGACTACCATTTATGTATGAGCCAGCATTGTGCTGCAGTTGCCAAAAAAAGTCCTGGGCAGCCTCAACAGAGGGATAGCATCAAGGTCACAAGAAATGACAGTACTGCTTTATACTGCCCTGGTGAGGCCACACATGGAATACTGCATCCAGTTCTGGTCACCATCATACAGAAAAGATGCTGAGACACTAGAAAGAGTGCAGAGAAGAGCAACAAGGATAATAAAGAGTATGATGAATGGTTGAGAGAACCATGTATGTCTAGAGAAGGATTAGGGGACATGACAACTATTTTAGATACTTGAGGGGCTGTCACAGAGAAGAGGAGATTGTCTTATTCTCCAAAGTACCAGAGGGCAGGACAAGAAACAATGGTTGGAAACTGACCAAAGAGAGAAGCAACCTGGAGTTAAGGAGACATTTTCTGACAATGAGAACAAGTAACCAATGGAACAGCTGGCTTCCTGGAGTTGTGGGTTGTCCATCACTGGAGGTTTTCAAAAATAGACTAGACAACCATTGGACTGGGATGGTATAAGGCAGTGGTGGTGAACCTATGGCACGAGTGCCAGAGGCGGCACTCAGAGCCCTCTCTGTGGGCACGCGCATCGTCGCCCCAGTCCTAGCCTTCAGCTGAGTTTTATAAAACCTTTTCGTTTTAGGTCTCCTCCACCGTGTACAAAAAAAAAAGTTCAATCAATCAGTCAATTTCAACTCGTGGGGAAAAAAAGATCTTGCAAAGTTGGAATTGATTGATTGAACTTTTTAGTCCCACCCAGTTTGCCATTACCACCACAGCCACGCCCACCCAATGGGCCACACCCACCCAATGGGCCACACCCACCCGGCACCCAATGATGCATAAGTGGGTTTTGGGTTACAGTTTGGGCACTCGGTCTCTAAAAGGTTCGCCATCACTGGTATAAGGCTCCTGGCTTGAGCAGGGGGTTAGACTAGAAGACCTCCAGGATCCCTTCCAGTCCTATGTACTAGCTTTCAAGATAAGCAATTTTGTTAGGGGACATGACGACTATCTTAGATACTTGAGTGGCTGTCACAGAAAAGAGGAGATTGTCTTATTCTCCAAAGTACCAGAGGGCAGGACAAGAAACAATGGTTGGAAACTGACCAAAGAGAGAGGCAACCTGGAATTAAGGAGAAACTTCCTAACAGTGAGGACAGTGGAACAGCTTGCCTCCAGAAGTTGTGGGTGCTTCCTCACTGGAGGTTTTTAAGAAGAGACTGGACAGTCACTTGTCTGATATGGTGTAGGTTCTCCTGCTTGAGTGGGGAGCTGGACTAGAAGACATCCAAGATCCCTTCCAGATTCTATTCTATTCTATTCTATTCTATTCTATTCTATTCTATTCTATTCTATTCTATTCTATTCTATTCTGTTCTGTTCTGTTCTGTTCTGTTCTGTTCTGTTCTGTTCTGTTCTATTCTATTCTATACTAGAAGGGATGACTGGTGGTACCTACCTGCCATCTTCCAGTTTAAATAAATTTCAACTTGACAATTAGACATTCCTTGTTGAAATTTCAGTTCATGCAGACATTCTCAAGTCTGTTTCCCTTCCTCAGCTTTAAAAAGAAACACCCTCTTGTCCCATGTTTCATAAAGGCAGGTTGAAAGTATTGATTTTAAGGGCTGATTTTAATTATGTTAGATGTGGTCTTGAATTGTTTTTAACACCTCTGTTTTTCATTTTTGCCTTATGTTTTATTGTAAACTCCAAGGGATCTGGTGGTAGAGTTAGCTAAGTAAGTAAGTAAGTAAGTAAGTAAGTAAGTAAGTAAGTAAGTAAGTAAGTAAATAAAGAGAGAGCCTGTGATTGATTTTCATTTACTGGCAGGTTTTTCGCATTTTATAGCAATATGGTGGTAAGCAGGCACAATAGAGCACAATCCATCATCTTGCAGAGAGTAGCTCAACTTTCTCAATGTGGTTTTTTTTTTACCCATAAGGCAAAAACGTTGCTCAGTTTCTTTTTCACAAGGACTTTCCAATATCCCAGAAATTCTTCAGATGCTCTGTGGGAAAACATTATTATTGAAATAAAGTAAATGTGGGAGCAAGCAGAAATATTTACCTCGCACCAGATTCAAAATTACACTTTAAAGTTTTCCGAAGAACATTTAAGGGGGAAAAGGAAAGCCTGCTTTGTTCCCGTTGTACCTGTCATTTAAATCTAGTATTAATAATGGGATGTCGTTTTTGATATCTCAAGGCAAGCCATGTCTTTGAAACTTAGGAGGGGGGGGAAGGTTCATGGGTCTCTGGCTTTAATATTTGTCTATGGCAGGGGCCTTCAAACTTGGCCCTTTTATGACTTGTGGACTTCAACTCCCAGAATTCCTCAGCCAGCGTGCCTGGCTGAGGAATTCTGGGAGTTGAAGTCCACAAGTCATAAAAGGGCCAAGTTTGAAGGTCCCCGGTCTACGGAGACATCTGACATGTTTGAAGCTCCTTCCCATGCAGGGTTCAAGAAGGGTTAACCATTTCTGATGGGGTCTCTGCTCTATTTGAAGAAAAACCCCATAACCTTTTTCACCTTGGTGGAGGAACATGGACATAAACGTCCTTCACTTGGACACCTTCAGGGTGACCTCAGAGCTGCTGCTTCTCCTTCTGGTAAGAGGGCCTCAGTCCTCTGCGTATGACTCCTTGTCTTGAATAACTTCAAGATAATTCAAGCTGCTGGTTGTTGTAGCATCAAAGCAGAGACCTGCAATGGAGCACTATTATGTTCATGAAAACAGTCATTCCTCTTTAGCATGGAGTCAAGCAGCTCCCGGAGAGACAAAGATGTTTGTCATTGCTCTGGAATCGGTTCTTTTCCTGCAAATTCACCTCTTGTCATTTTTACTGACTGATGATGCAGAAAGCCTTGAACAAAGGTAAGAAATCCAGCCATAAAATGGTGGGAATCGGTCATTTATCTCCTCTGGATGACACCCTTGGGGGGGAGAAAAAGGCAGGCAAGCCTTATTTATATCCCCTGAATCCTTTATTTCATCCCCGTCTTTTAACTTTCTAAAGTCAATCGGTCAGTTTTTTGGCATAATGAAGGCCACCCTTCCAAGCTCTGGTATCGCTTTAATTCTACATCAGCTCTTCCTGTCCCAACGTCTTCGTAGTGCCTTGGGCAACTCTCTTTTCTCCATCCAGAAGTGCTCCTTTTTTTAAAAAAAAAAATATCTTCTCTATTCGTAGTTATCAGAAGCAGCAGAGTAAAGAGAAGGATCCATCTCCACTGTTCAAACATTAGTCAAAACTGCAGACTTGCCCACTGAGGTTCAGCATCAATAAGGCCTTTCCTGAGCTTCTGTTTAACAAAACATTGATTGTTCTGCCAGTGAGCTCAATTTGTTCTCTCTCTAGAGTTTGACTTATTACAAGCAGTACCTCCTAGCAAATGTCCATCTAGGACCTAGGTCAACCTCCTTCAAATGGTGATCAACAGCTGCTTCTGGGAAAAGCAGGGGTGACTATGGACAGTCACCCCCAGTTTCTTCCCAGGAACGGGCCCTCTGGACCAGAAGTTCCAGTGTAGGTCTAATACTGTTTTTTAAAAAATATAAAATACTGGAAGAAAGAGATGGCTGGAATTTGAGCGGGGGAAACATAGGCTTGCAGAAAAAGGGGAAAAGCAAAGAGAGAGCCAGATCAGGTTTGGAGATAAGGACGACTGGACAGGAGGTCACCAGGAAGCAATCCATCTAAAACAGACTTGGAGTGCCAGCTCCCAAAGATAAGAACTTTCACGCAACCGATCATCTAATATCCAAAGGAAGGCCGAGGTGATATAAAAAGGAATGCCGGTAAGGGATTAAAAAGGGAAGCTTTGAGAGATTTTGAGAGACTTCACCGTTCCTGCAAGTTCTGACTGGATTCCGGCATCTCCTCTTTCTCAGCCCAATTTGCAGTGGGGGAAAAAACCGTGAGTAAAGCTACGGGTCTGGAGGGGGGTACTTGTATGAGTAACTCTTAAGCAAACCGACTCCAATAAAGCTGTCGTGGGTTAGCAGAGGCTCTCTGTGGGCTGAGTGTTCCTTTCTAACTAAGATCTTGAACGCTGGCATCTCCATTTAAACTATCCCTAAGAAGTCCTCTCTGCCCTGGTTATCTCTTGTGAAGCCTCAACTGCGGCTTATCTAGTCTCTGGATTGGGGAAAACGCAAGATGGGGGCAGCTGTGGAGAGCAGTCATGTGTGCCTCAACCAGGGGTGGGTGAGTATTGAAATAAAAGAAAATAAATAAAGTATAAATGGAAAAACTGACAGCAGTAAGCCCACAGTACCCTTAGCCTTCCTCGTGAAGCCTCCCCTTTTCCCACTTTCCCCTTAACCTCCCTTTTTCCGACTGTCCAGGGGAGAGACTACGATTGCATTTCCAGGTAATGCATAAATGCATTGCTGAGTAAGGATTTCTTTTTCTTTTTTTCTTTTGCCTTTGTAAACATCTCCCCCTTTCCTAAAAAAAAACAAAAAAAACCCCCTTCAACCATCACTTTTAACAAAACTCCGCACCTTCTCTGTAGCCTAGGCAACTTTACAAAGCCTCTTGCCCTCTGGGTCAAAGTGGAAGGTTTTCAGCATTGCCCTTCCAAAGGCTTGTACTCTGGAGTGTGTGGCTCGTGTGTGCTAATTAAGTTCCTGGGTTCCAGCTAGCAACGAGCTGATGAAAGAGAAGCGTGTGTCCTCATTAAATTGGGCACAGTTGGAAGACTGCACATCAAAAGAGAACAGGTCAACTCTGGAGTGTGGTGGCGCGTGCACCTACACACACCACACACACACACATACACACAGAGTTTCACACACTCTCTTTTCCCTGAAGTGCCTCTACAGCAAACCTGTCAATTATGTCACCCTTGCTAACTTCCCTTAGGATAAAACTTGCTGCTTCTTGCTCGGTCTTGGCTCTGTCAAATATTACCCAAAGCTTGTTTGTTGACTCTCTCTCTCTCTGTGTGTGTGTGTGTGTGTCTCTTTGCGTGTGCGTGTGTATATCCCTCTGAAGGTGGAGCCCTCTTGCAATAAAAAGAGGGGGGGGGCAAATAACAACTTAAAATAAGGTGAGAGCAAATATCTGAAGTTCCCCCACCACCTCTCTGGTGTGACAAGGCGGGCAGTTCAGATAAAACCACACCAGTTCAAGGCTGCCGTCTCACTGCCTGTCAAGTCCTTCGGATGCTCCTCTCCTCCTTGGGAGACATCAGACACCTTTTCCCGGGCTGTGAATTGTCCTAAGAAGTTTTCTTTTTTGAAAATCTATTTTATACTTTTTCTTTCCTTTTTTTTCTCTTCTTTTTAGTGCCTGTCTGAGCGGTCCTGCCTCTCTTCTGCCTGTCATGTTTTTGCACCAGGCTGAACTGGACAATTCTCTACTCTTCTACATGGGAGCCACGGTGCTCTACGGGGGGACAATATTTTATCGCGCTAAGAAGAACCGAGTGGAAAAAGCCCCCCCTTTCCGCTGGGGTCTCCTGTTGCTTTTGACCCTGGAAGTCCTGTGCTTCACCACCTTGGGAAGTTCTCTGGGCTTGACTTTATTCTCCCTGGCGTGTCTCGTGTTTTGTTTTTATACTCCTGCGCAAGCTATGTTGCCCGTGAATCGCAAAGCCGTGTTCATCACAGGTAAGGGAGAGGCATCCGTTGAATTCTCAGGGTGGCTTAGCCGTCCGAACTCCCAAGAGGAATTTGAACTTGTCTTCTCTAAAATAACTTTTCGGAGGGATTTTGGATTGTCCTTAGCTAACATCTTTTCTTGGATTAAGCTGGATCTATACCTGCTTTGCCTGATTCGGAAATAAGAATATTTCCCCTTCAGATTGAAATCTGAGGATGCTTTGGACTCTTTATGCATGTGTTAAGGTTGGGGTGGGCGTTTGGGTAAGGATGCTTTCGGATGTAGGAGTTGTAAACTGTGGGGGGTGGGGGTCCTCGGTGCTCTCTAAGCTTGGCTGTTTTCTTGCAGACATTTCATTATCCAAGCAGGTAACATCACCAGTGTTAAAAGAGAGTGGAGTTTGCAGAGTGGAGAGAGGAGGAGAAGGAGGAGGATTGTGAGGTCCTTGGTGCTCGCTGTGCTTGGTTGTTTTCTTGCAGACGTTTCATTACCCAGCTAGGAAACATCATCAGTGCTTGATCACTAGCACTGATGATGTTCCCTAGTTTGGGTAACGAAACATCTGCAAGGAAACCATCAAGCTCAGAGAGCACCAAGGACCCCACAGTCCTCCTCCTCTGCAAATCCCCTCTCTTCTAGGACTGATGATGTTCCCTAGGTGGGTAATGAAACATCTGCAAGAAAACATCCCAAGCTTAGCGAGCACCAGGGACTCCTCATTTCAACCCTGAGCTACAAATAGTCTTCTTTATGGGTTGTAAACTGTGAAATAATTTAGGATCTCAGTCTGTTACCTGGCTTCTTCTCCTTTTTTTCCCCCGTGCAACAAGGGAGCAGGCAGCAGCATATTACGAAGCTTCTTTTTAGAAAAGTTAACTAGCGCAGCTCTTTGCCTCTGACATGTGGCTTTAAACTGGTGACAGATCGAGTCCAAGAATGTGGGTGTGGATAGCACCTTGACACAAATTTCTTATTTGCTGGTACAGCACTTTGCCAAGAAGAGTGTGTCACAATAAATACAGGCGGACTGGAGCAAGGGGGAAAAAAATCCTCAATGGGCTCTGAAAATAATAGTAAATCTGTCTGTCTGTCTGTCTTCCCCTCTCCCTCTCCCTCCCCATATCTCTCTTTCTGTTTTTTTCTCTCTCTCTCCTCTCAATCTGTCTGTCCCTTTTCTCCCTCCCCCTTCTCTCTCTCTCTCTCTCTTTCTTTCTCTGGTTTTTCTCTTCTCTCAATGTTTCTCTCTCTCAATCTCTCTCACTCTCTCTCTTTCTTTCTCTCCTCTCTCTCTCTCTCTCTCTCTCTGTCTCAATATCTCTTTCTGGTTTTTCTCTTCTCTCAATGTTTCTCTCTCTCAATCTCTCTTTCTCAGCCTTCCTCTCTTTCTTTCTCTCTTCTGTTTCTCTCTCTCTGTGTCTCTTCTCTCTCTTACACACACACAAAATGAGAACGAGAGGTAGAGAAACAGAAAAACTAAGACCATATCAGGCTTGATCATCCCTGCTTTGGTACTTTTGTGCTCAACTTTTTCTCCTTTCGTGCTGAAAGATTAGATGTACTTCTCTCATTCTCATTCATTCATTCATTCATTCATTCATTCATTCATTCTCTCTCTCTTTCCTTCCCTCCCTCCCTCTTTCTCTAAGATATTGTCCATTAGCCACTGGAAATGGAAACACATGGCTGTTTGGGCGATGAGTGTTGGAGAAGGGCTGGATTGACACTAGCAAAAGGTCCCGTTCTGCCCCCATCGAAGGAATCTCAGTCATTTCATGTGTTGCTTATAATTTTGGCAGAAGAGTATAACAAGGACTCCTGGTCACATCCCTTGCAAGCAAACACCAGTCACAGCCAAAAGTTCTTCTCTGCTCCCCAACCTTTGATTTATTTTTGATGCTCACATTTCTTCTGCCGTTGCCGGTTCGTCCTCTGTTTAAAATCATGAGCCGGGAAACATGCCTATGCTTTGTGACTTCTGGACTGGCCCTTTATTTAGGTTGTGGAACTTGGGTGAAAGACACAATAGCCGGATGGCTCATTGCCAAACAAAGGGAAGCAGGTTGTTCAAAACACACTTTGGCAGCTGCTCTGGTCAAAACGATCCCTTGCTTTCGCTTTTGGCTGATTGATGCAGGTTGGGTTAAGTTCTGTGGAGACAGATTTGGCTGCTTGGTGGGAAGAGATGTCAATCCCAGTCTAACCTTGGGCCCCATTGTCCAGATGTGTGATGGACTCTTCTCCCTAGAGGCTTTCAGATGGCGATTGGGTTCTCATCCTTGGGGGATGCTCTTTGTGGGGTCCTTGGTGTTCTCTGAGCTTGGTTGGTTTGTTGCAGACATTTCATTACCAAACTAGGTAACATCATCAGTGCCTAGTTTGGTAATGAAACGTCTGCAGCCAAATAACCCAGCTCAGAGAGTGCCCTGAAGATGTTACCTAGTTTGGTGATGAAATGTCCTTGCAACAAAACAATAAGCTCAGAGAGTACCGAGGACCCCAAATTCAACCCTGAGCTACAAGGACACCAAATTATGTCGGTATCACCTGAGAAAAAAAACCAGGTAGAATTAGATGGCGTTCGGGACTTATTCCAACTCTACAGATGTAGTGGTAAAGGCATTGGGCTGGTACCAAAGAGGTCAAAGTTCAAACCTTCATTCACCCAGTGGCATCAAAGGTTACTTAGGAGGATTAAAAGATATGTGTCACTTCTGAGGTCTGCAAGAAAAAAGTATAATTATAATAAACGGATGCTTCATAAACAAATGCAGGAAAGAGGCAGTTGCAGAAAGCTTTTAGCTCACATGGAAGTTTATTTTGGAAGAGGTGCAGTTTGTATTTCCTGAGGGAAGAGGATGAAAAGGGACTTGGAGCTCGTTCTATTTATTCCTAATTTCATGTTAAGATTATGAACTTCTCACATCTCTGATTCCAAATGGGTTTCTCTGAGAAGTTTGTGATGCTTGTGAAAAAGGTAATTGAAGAAAACAAAGAGCAAAATGCAAGCTTGTAAATACAAGAAGGAAGGTTTTTGCATTAAAACACGAAGATGGCTCTGTGTGTAGAACAAGACAGGAAAGGTTAGAAATAATTGGAAATTTCTATTCAGAGTTATACAAAGATCAAGATCAGTGAAAAGTAACAGCACCCACGAAAGAGGAAATGCAAGATATCCTAGTGGAGGAAGTACCAAGTGCCATAAAATCAATGAAAAATGGCAAAGCTTCAGGAAATGACTGTTACATACACACACACACACACATATGTATATATATATGTTTGTGTGTATGTATATATATGTACACATACATACACATATACATATATATATATATATATATATATATACTGTACACATATACATACATACATGTAAACATATATTTATATTTTTAATGGCTTCTTTTATAGGAACTGACAGTGGAATCGGCCATGAGCTTGCAAAATACCTTGACAGTTTAGGATTTACTGTCTTTGTCAGCGTCTTAGATGCAGCAGGCCCTGGTGCCAAAAAGCTGAAGGAAACCTGCTCAGAAAGACTTTCCATCCTGCAATTGGATATCACCAGTTCTGCACAAATAAAGGAGGCTTATCTTGAAATAAAGCAGAAGTTGCAACATGAAGGTATGACTTGTTTGCACATCTCCACCCCTCTGTGATTATCCTTCTTGCCAAAGTGACATTTTGCAAAGGTCCAGAAATGAGGCATGTTGATATTGGCCTGAGAATCTAATCATCGTTCAAACTCAGAGGCTGACATCAACATTTACCTCCTTTGAGTAGCCGATGGAGTGAATGGAATTAAGATAAAAGATCTACCTT